ATTTTCAAATTATGCCTTACAGAAACATGGTGCCGAGACAAGGAAATTGAAAACAATTCTAATTTTCAACTTAATAGTTATAAAGTATTTCATTAAATTAGAGACTCTGAGAAAGCAGGTGGTGGATTTGTGCGTTTTTGTTCACAACTCTTTATATTTTAAGCTGCGCAAAGAATATTCTGTTACGACGCATGATTTGTAATTATTTTCAATAGGGGTTATAAACTAAACATGCAAAAACGCGATTGTGTACGTCATATATAGACCACCTTCTGGTAATAAAAAGGCGTTTATCAAACAAATTAAAACCCTTATTATCAAATTAAAAATATTTTATTAATAAAAAAAATTATTTTAATTTATAAAAATTATTTTAATTAATAAAAAATATTATTTTAAGCCTTATTAATAAATTAAAAGCCTTACTAACAAATAAATATAAGGCAAATGCGTTTTCCTTGCGGGCGATCTGAATTTAGATTTGTTAGAATATAACAAAAATAAAGACGTCAGAAAATTTTTTGTTATATTTCAATATGGCTTCTCTCCAACTATAAATAAACCAACTAGAATAACAAAAAAAAAGTGCCACCTCCATTGACCAAATTCTAACTAATAATTTTGAAAATTATCAGTCTTTATATTTCACAAAAATTGGTAAACCAATTTTCCGATAAGGTAAAAACCACAAAGCGAGTTATTAAAGATGCCTCTCTTAAAGTTTTCATTATTTTTTTATCTATGACCAACTGGGAACCTGTTTTGAATACTAAAAATGTTAATAAAGTTTATGATAATTTTCATTGTATATTTTAAAACCTCTACAATAAAGCATTCCCAATAACAACTAAATTTACTAAAACAAAAAAATTGCAAAATCCCTGGATAACATCCGGCATCATTAAAGCTTCCAAAAAAAAGCAACGTTTATATCAAAAGTTTATTAACAAAAGAACATATAAGAATGAAAAATATTATAAAAACTATAATCATCTTTCTGTGACAATTGTAAAGCGCGCAAAAAAGTTTTATTATAGTAGCCAATTATTGAATAACAAAAATGATATAAAAAAAACTTGGAGCATAATGAAAGAGGTTATAGGTATAAAAAAGTACTAATATTAATGGTTTATCGAAAAAGCTAATCATAAATGATTGTGAAATTACTAACGAGTCTATTATTCCTAATTCGTTTAACAATGCATTTGTTAGCACAGGCCCAAGATTGGCATCAAATTTAAAAAAAAGTAAAACCTACTTTGATACATTCCTAAACCCTATTAATAATATAATAGATAATAATATACTAACAGAAGCTGAATTATTTGAGGCTGCATACTTACTTAAACCAAAATAAGGTTTCGGAGTTGACGATGTAAGCAGTAATGTAGTAATTAAATCAATGCTATATTTAAAAATCCCGCTTTTGCATATTTTTAGTCTCTCTTTAGAGCAAGGGTTCTTCCCTAATAGACTTAAAGTTGCAAAAGTAATGCCAGTATTAAAGTCAGGAGACGAGGTTAATATCTCCAATTACAGACCTATCTCAATTATCATGCTTTTTAGGCGATTGTTAATCTTGTTCAAAATATATTTAAATCGTTTAATAAAAATAAATATACATTAGGTATATTTATTGATCTCAGTGAAGCTTTCGACACTGTCAATCATTTCATTTTATTAAAAAAGTTAGAAAACTATGGTGTAAAAAATATAAATATTTCATGATTTAAAATCTATCTGACAAATAGATCGCAATACATTTTTTACAACGATGGTAAAATGACCGATATGAGTATAATGTGTGGGGTCCCTCAAGGTCCTATTTCTCATCTACATCAATGATTTAAGTAAAGCATGCAGTGAACTAGATACAATTTTATTTGCAGATAATACAAACCTATTCTATGCACATAATGATATAAAAATTCTGTTCAAATCTGTAAACAAAGAGCTAATAAGTCTTACTGAATGGTTCAGTGCAAATAAATTATAACCAGTGCAAACTAAATATAACCAAGACGAAATATACTTTTTTCCATCGTTTTCATGATCGAGATAATATTCCTATAAAACTTCCAAAACCCTGTAATGACAATCAAGATGTAAAAAAAGAAATCACTTTGAAGTTTCTTGGTGTTCTGCTTGATGAAAAATCACATACATCATCTCGAAAGTAAAATCTTTAAGAACATTGGTTTGACTTGTAGAGCAAAACCTTTTTTAAATCACGTTATAAAAATTATAAACATATTGTTTAAAATTTTTATATTTCTCTTTCATTCATTGTCATCTAAATTATGCAAACATTGCTTGGTGCAGTACAAATAAAAATAAAATTTAAAAACTTTTTAACAAACAAAAACATGCAATCAGAATCATATCCGATGTGGGACGTTTTACACATTCCCATGCATTATTTATGAAGCTAAATATAATGGATATCTACCAAATAAACATCTAACATCTTCTTATATTTATATTCAAAATTAATAAAAATTTATCTCTTAAATTTTTAACCCGGTATTCAGAATAAATCAGAACAGCTACTTAACTAGATACTCGTATTACAACTACCATCAGCCCACTAATTATTTTGCGGCTACTAAATTTTCAATTTCAACTAGAGAACCAAAAGTATGAAATAAAATATTAACTAATGATCTTAAAACAATTGCAACACTTAATGAGTTTAAGTGACCAAATTGAAGCAGACTGTTGATAAGCAGCGTAGCGCATGGTTTCTTCTGATGTATATGTAAAGGTGTATACTGGTTTAAAAGGAAAGTTTCAGGATTTTGAGTATTTGCGTGCATGCTTTTTAAGTATATAATTTTTATCTATACTATAGTATTTGCTTACTTACTTTGGTATTTAATTTTTAAATAATGTCATATAAATTTATTCATAACATAAAACATATATAAATACAAATAACCCTGTTATTTGTATTTATATATGTTTTATGTTATGAATAAATTTATATGACAAAAAAAATAAATAAATAAATCTAAACATTAAAATTAAAATTACAAATAAATCTTTAATTACTGAAACACTTAATATTTAATCAGTGCAGGTTCAACTTTATCATCGAAAATAGAAACTACTGAAGTGAACTTTGAGTCATATCTTCATCCTAATAAGACCTCTAAGATGGATAATTATGAAATTACTGAAAAGGAACTCTTAGATGCAGTATATTTTTTAAATCTAAACAAAAGTGTGGGGTTTGATAATATTAGTAGTAATGTAATTAAAAAATTGATAAAAAAAACTTAACAACCCCTCTTTTACATATTTTTAATCTCTTTAAAACTAGGCATTTATCCGGAGAAACTAAAGTTTGCGAGGGTCATACCTATTTTCAAGTCAAGTCATTTTTAATCCTGAAAATTACAGACCAATTTCAATTCTTCCTTGCTTCTCCAAAATCTTAGATCGAATTATGTATAACCGAATTTTGACTTTTCCAGATATAAATAATATTCTATATAACAAACAATTTGGATTTCAACCAAGGTATTTAACTGACCATGCCGTTATTAATATTGTTCACAATAAATTTAAAGCATTTGATGAAAGTAAGTTTACCCTAGGAGTTTTTATAGATCTTATCAAAGCCTTAGATACAGTAGACCATAACATTCTTATAAAAAAACTCAAAAGTTATGGTATTAAAAGTACATATTTAGAATGGCTCAAAAGTTATTAAAACAATAGAAAACAATACATAGCACACAAAGAAGGAAAAACTGAATACTTGACTATTACTTGCTGTGTTCCCAAGGCTTAATTCTGGGTCCACTTTTATTTCTTATTTAAGTAAACATTTCCATAAGTTTTCAAACTTTTTAAACTCAGTTTTATTTGCAGATGATACGAATTTATTTTATTCTAATGGAGATGTCAACCTTTTATTTAAAATAGTAAACATGGAATTTTTAAATCTAGCGGAATGGTTTAAGACAAACAAATTGTCCTCATTCAAATAAAACTAAAAACTTTAAATAAAAACCTTAAATATTTTCTTTATTGTGAAGTCTATGAAAAAAAGTATACTTTTTTTCATAGACTTCACGATAAAGAAAATATTCCATTAAAACTTCCATTGGAAACTCTAAAATATTTAGAGAGTCATCATTAAAGTTTTTAGGAGTGATACTTGACGAAAACATGACATGGAGAGAACACATAAGAACGATTGAAAATAAAATTTCGAAAAATATTGTCATACTATACAAAGCTAAGCAAATCTTAAACCAAAACTGCTTTAAAATCTTATATTTCTCCGTCATACATTGTAATATAAACAATGCAAATAATAATAATAAAAAAAAATCATTTAAAACCTTGGTCAAACCAACGCGACGATCTGTGGCTGAAGAGATTTTTCAGCAAGTTAGCTCTCATCAGGAACTCTCTAGGGGCATGATTGTCTTAACGGCTGTCAATCCTTTCAATCGAAACAGATCTTGAGAAGAAAGTTAATTACGGTATTTTAAATTTCAGCTTTGCTGCTAGAAAAGGTTTTAAAGTCTTGGTAACTTTGGAAAAACTTGATACCAAATCCAGAAATGTTTTTTTCCTTTGTTCTGTTTAATTTGTGAACCGTCTTAAATACAGAATTTTAAAAATATTTTGTGAATACTCAAAATAGCTTTTATTTATTATTATTTCTATTTTGGTGGTGGTCGAGGTGGGGGTATCCAGTAAATATTTTTTATAATATACCCCAAACATCATGAAGTCTCTGTGCGCCCCTGTGCAAATGTAATCAAATGGGGTTTCCATATGACATTCTAATCAAATATAAACGCCCAAAATATTGGTAAAAGTTTCCTTTTTTATTTCAAATTTATCAATAAGAATTTTTAATATGGTTGTTGGTTAAAAATTTTTTTTAGATATAGGATGAAACAGAATGTATTTTGTTTTATCAAAGTTTAAGGTCAACTTGTTACATTTGAACCACTCAGATACGCATTTAAGTAATTTATTCATGTTATAAAACAGCTCATTAATATTACTGTTTGATAAGAATTTGTATCATCAGCAAACATAATACTTCGAATATTTCGAATACTTCGAAGATTACCTGCTTTACTTAAATCATTAATATAAATTAAAAACATAAGAGGACCTAGAAAAGAGCATTGTTGTACACCACAGGTTTTTACAGCATAGTCACTTTGAAGGCCATTATTAGAGGTTACAAATTGTTTTTTATATGATAAGTAAGTATAAAACCATTTTAGCATATTGTTATCGATTCCATAGTATTTGAGCTTTCTAAGCAATATTATATGGTCAACAGTGTCGAAAGTCTTCGAAAGATCAATATAGACTCCTAGCGTATATTGTTTTTTTTCGAAAGATTCTGAAATTTCCCGAACAAGTTGAATAATTGTGTGCTCAGTTGAAATATTTTTTTTTAAGCCAAACAGTTTGGTATATAGTATTTTGGTCGAGGTATTTAAGTATTCTATTATATAATATTCTTTCTAATAGTTTTGAAAAAGTTGAAAAAGTAGTTTTTAATGTTTGTTTTATTCAAAATTGCTTTGCATTTATGGATCAAAAACCAGAAAAAAATTTCTTTATCACTTATACGATCATATAATTTATTTGATGTATGACAGTATAAACTTGCTTTAAAACATAAGAAATAATTTAATTAGTACCAAAATGTTTAATTTTCTATCATTTCAGTTCACTGATTGCAATTTTAGTATAAATATATCTGTATGAGATATATATTGGGGGTTGGGAGTTGCTTCATAGAGTATATAATAATATAATATACAATACTGTTGAGATTTAACGCCATGTTAAATCTTTTACAGACATAACAAGAAAGTTAAAGATGGTCAATTAAGTCTAGTTTAGCTTTAAATAAGTTGAGATTTTTAACTTCCACTGTTTCAATTGATAAATTGTTCCAGAACTTGACTGTGTAATTTGTAAAAAAACCTTCACGATTTCGATTTAAATATTTCTTATCGGTGAATAAACGATGTTTATTACCTCGAATGTTTGAACACGGACTAGAAGAATTTAAAGAGTACGAATGTTGAGAGGGTATTTTCCAAGTTATTTTCTCTATATCATAATACCATTTGTACATTTGTATGAGATCTCCTCGTATTCTTTGTTGTTTTGAATTTTTTTAATATATTTATATCTCTTTTAAGATAAGGACTCCATTCCTGTATTGCAAATTCTAAATGCGGCCGTATATAACTACAATACAACAATTTTATTAGTTCACTATTTTTATACTTAAATGATTTGTATATTATAACAAATTTATAGTTTGCAATAGATGATGCAATTTGTATTTGTGGTTAACATTTTAAGTCAATGGAGATTAATATGCGTAGATCTTTTTCCAATTTAGTAGTAGTTAATTCTTGCTTTATATTATTGTTAGTCATGAAATATTTATAATTTTTATTTTTGTTACCAATATACATGATTTTACATTTTTCAAAATTGAATTGCATTTTCCAGTTTTTTACCCATTTTTCATAGAAATGTCATTTTGTAAAGCATGTGCATCCGTTTCATTATTAACTTCAGCTATTACTTTACAATCATCTACATACAACAACAATTGGTTTGTAAGTTGACTTGGAAGATAATTGATGTATATTAAAAATAAAATTGGACTAAGCACAGAACCTTGTGGTACACCGCTTACTATGTCTACCGATGATTATACACTTTCTCCAAGTACAACTCTTTGCTTCCTATCAGATAAAAAATAAATTATCCACTTCAATGACGTAGATATAATCCCATATATTTCAAGTTTTAGTGCTAACCACCTATGTGAAACTTTGTCAAAGGCTTTCTTGAAATCAGTATAAAGGATATCAAACAATTTACCATTTGCAACACATGTTGTTACTATATCCATGTACTCTAAGAGATTAGTTTTGCAACTTTTGCCTTTTGTAAAACCATGCTGATTAGAAAATAATAAATTGTTAAACGTTAAATTATGTAAGAGTTGGTTAGATATTAAACGTTCTAAAGTTTTAAAAAGAATTGATGTCAAGGAAACTGGCCTATAATTTCAAACTTTATTTCTACTGCCATTTTTAAACAGCGGCGTTATGTTTGGTGTCTTCCATGAAATATGTACTACACCTTCATAAATTGATTTGTTAAATAATAAAGTCAATGGATTAGAAAAAGCATTTACACATTCTTTTAATACAAAAGGATGAATCCCATCTGGTCCAACCGATTTTTTTGGATTTATAGCATTTATCATATTAATAACTTTAGTTGAGGTAATACTAAAAAAGTTAAGTGAAATATGAAAATGATGAATTTCTTCATCATCTTCATACTTCACTTCAGTTTTTCATATTTCACTTCAGTCTTCATTCAAAGTTATTTTCCTAATGAATATTTAACATCTGAACTTTGAAAACTTATTAAATTATGGTAATATCCAATTCTAAAATTAAGTACTTTAATCATAAATATGGTGATGCATCTGTATTTGGGAGATGGTATGCCACAGTTATTGCATGCATTTCCTCACCGGGTTGAACAGTGGCAATATCTATCAGTGGAATTGTATTTTGCGATACAATTCCACTGATAGATATTGTCTCAAGCACTAATCGTAACATTGCAAAGTACTTCTAGTTCAATGTTCCTACCTCTCGTTTCCAAAGTGATACATTAGAACGGCATTTTTCAAAGTACCATTAAATGAGTGGTGCAAGTTTCTTGTTGGATTGCATGAAGTTAATACTTCTGAGAAATGAGATCATTTTTAAAACAAACTTTGACTTTTGGAAAATTTAGAACTTTTTAACTCAATATTCTAAATTTAATTTTGGAACCTTTTATTAATGATATTTAGGAATGTGAGTAAGATAAAGAAGTTTCTATTTTTATTGCTGGATATTTATGCAAAAAATTGCTTGAAAAGTTAAATGTGAATTATAGTGCTAAAAGGTGATATCATTGATGTAAATACAGAATATATAGAACCAATATCCAGAGGAAGTCTCATAACCATAAAGTTACTGGCAAACCATGTTATTAATTGCTTTGCTACGCTTGATGAGCTTCAAAGTTCTTGGCATCAGAAAAGTTTGCGATTATATTTTAAATGAATATAATTTGAAACAGTGCTTTGTTTGTGAGGATCATTTATAAAATTTAGAAAAATTTTTTAAACAATAAACGTTAGATTTTCAGTAACATAAAAGCGTAAAGATGTTGTATTATCTTTTAAAAGCAGACAAAAAGAAAAGAAAAAATATGTAGTTAATATATATATATATATATATATATATATATATATATATATATATATATATATATATATATATATATATATATATATATATATATAAAATACAAGGTTTTTACAATAAAATTAAATAAGAAAAAGCTAATAAACTTTTAACTCAAAAATTGTTCAGAAAGATTTTAACTTTTAAGCTTAAAACCCAAAAAATTATAATATTGAAATAACTTGCCTTCTAATTTTTGGCTTATTAATGCAACATGTATTATATAGACCTTGATCTGTCAAAGACGGGTGAGACGAGAACTAAAAAAGAAAAAATATGTAACAAGTTTAAGGCAAAAAAAATTTCCAACAATTTTAAACTTTCCACATTTATTAATTCACGTCGCACAGACAAAACTGGATCAAGTGATAAAAACGTACGATAATTGTGTAAAACAAAGATCTATTGAACGAAGTTTTTAATATCACAAATAAAGATGATGAATGTCGCTGCAGTGAAGATAAAAGAGTGTATCAACTTTAAATTAAAAACAAAGGGCAAGTCAAAAACTATAGATTTATCTAAATAAAGAAAAATGTTCTTGAAGCCTATTTCAACAACAGTAATGGCTACAGCAACAACGTAAACTTCATAACCCGAGTCTGAGGCAGAATATCAAGAGTCTGAAAATTCAGAAAAACAGTCCACAAGTACCACGAAGAAATACAACAAAACCAAAACTGCAACCAAATTAGTAACATTTTCAAAGCTTTCAACCAGTAAAGCAGCATCCATTTGTTGACAGTTATCTCAAGATTGACGATCATAGACCTTCTCAGCCTGTTATATTCAGATAAACTATTAAAGAAGTTGTTAAACTTAAAAAAGAACTGAAGAAAACACTACATTTAAAAAGCTTGTCACTGCACTTTGATGGTAAAACGTATTAGTCACAAAGTGTATTAAGTGTTGGTTTTAAAGAATAAACAAAGAGAAGTTGCACAGAAGATGATGTATTGTCATAATTATGGTGGCAACTGATCAAATTTTACTTTGAAGCAGTTGACACTGATATTACTGACAACTTCGTATGGTAGTGCGTTATGTGGGCGACGCGGTTGTAGCAGGATTATTTGTTAAAACAAGACTTCAACTTATTGTTTTTTTTTTCTTTTTCCTAACTTGTTCCTAAAGAAGGCTATGCATATTTGCGTTTTCCTGCAAAATATAAATTTGCAGAAAATTTCTTACAAATATATATCAATTTAGCTCATCGGTCTTCGATTTGGACAAAATCTTTTTTTATATTAAATCAAAGTGAAATTTTTTTAACTTATACTTTTGAAATTTGATGAAACTAAAGATATTGAAAATAGAAAATGAAACTAAAATTTTAAGGTCTGTTTCTACCTAAATTAGAGCGATGTTTTATTAACTCCACCACATTTCTACTTAAATTAGAGCGATGTTTATAACTCCATAACAGTTTTTCATCATAAAAGTTAGACGTATGTAATATTAATTTAATAAGGTAATCGCGTAAATTTATGTAGTTATAATATAACTACATAAATAAATATAAGAATAATACATTAAAAAAAAAAGAAGCTAAATATGGTCTCATCGATGAAGCATAATTTATTTGAAAAGTTTGTTCTAAACTTCTTCCTTCTGCTTGAACATTAATTGGTGAATTTTCTTTAATGTATGAAGCCACAATATCAACAACATCTTGACCACTATCACGCCTGGGTACAGATTTTAGCATTTCATATCCATCCCCGCCTTCGAGTATGTAATTTGGGGCGACGATCTAAATGTGACGATCAATACGTACAGTGAAAAAAAAAAAAAAAAAAAACTGGTACATAATTTTTCAAATATTTTCGAAAGCGTAGAAGTTTTTTTGAATTTTATACCTTATAAATTTTTTTATCGTCGACCGGTTCGTATCCTGATGAGCATTTACGACAAGATATCAGTAACTCAATGATTCGTTTGTCCACTGGCATTTTAGAATTGTATCTCATTCGAATACCTATAAATTAGTGTGAGAAACAATTTATTTACAATTATAATTAGTGTGAGAAACAATTTATTTACAATTAACAAACAAGTTTGAGTCTTAAGAAATTGCACGATTTTATATTTAACATAATTGATACCACTTTAATACTGACTTATAAAAACACAATAATTTAACATTCTTTTAAGAACTTTAAATAGAAAATTGAGTCTTCTTTTTTACGGTTATAGACACGATTAGTTTGTCTTATTATTGTAAACAATAAAAAATAAAAAGACTATATTGTTATATGTAAAAACTATTGCACAAACTTTGGGCAGAGAAGGAGTTGTATCATAACAATTTTTTTTTAATTCTAATTTACTCCCAACAAAGCTGCAAGCAACCACCATTAAGCTGGGAGTTACTAGGAAAAAAAGAATAAAGTTATAGAGCAACCTAAAAAATTGTAGGTTGTATTAGTCAGGAAAACATGAAAACGGGAGAGAATTCCAAAGGCTCAAAGTGCGGGGAAAAAAACTAGATGAATAAAAGTTTTTAGAGCATGCAGGGATAGATACAGTAAGCGAATAAGACTTTGATGCATGCTTTGATTGCATTTTTTGGAAAAACATAAATTTATTTACAAACACCAGTACGGTTTTCGCAACAAACACTCAACAACTCATTCGTTAATAGAAATTACAGAGAAAATTAGACAAGCCATCGATAATAAATACTTTGCGTGTGGAGTATTTACTGACATAAGAAAAGCATTTAATACAGTTGAGCACACAATCCTGCTAGAAAAGCTGAAATACTACGGTATAAGAGGTATTCCTTTTCTCTGGTTTTCCTCTTATCTTTGTAATAGAATACTTTGTAATAGAACATTTGTTTCGATTAATGGTATCAACTCAGGACTAGCTAAACCTTTTAATGGTGTTCCGCAAGGCTCTGTTTTAAGTCCATTACTTTTTCTTATTTTTATCAATGATTTAAATGTTTCTCTTAAATTTTCTACTGCTTATCACTTTGCGGATGACACTAACTTACTCCTAATTAACAAATTACTTAAAAAACTTAACAAAAATATGAATCACAATCTAGCTAATGTTGTTCAATTGCTCCACTCCAATAAATCATCTTTTAACTCTAAAAAAACGTAAAATTAATATATTTAAACCTGTTCAAAAATAAGCAATTAAATTTCAGATTAAATGGACAGAAAATAAATCCAGTTAACTTCATTAAATATCTTGGAATCAAAATAGACTCTAATTTATCTTTTGCATCACATCATCAAGATTTAGCATTGAAATTAAGCAGATCGAATGGTATTTTAGCTAAAATTCATCATTATGTTTATCATAAAACTTTGCTTAATATATATCATGCAATTTTTCAATCTCATCTCAGATATGCTTGCCAAGTTTGGGGACAATCTAGGCAGCTTGCTTTTTTAAGACTAAATTATTTCCAAAACAAGGCTATAAAATTAATTTACTTCCAACATACTAATAAGAACTGTAGCATACTCTATTTTTTATCTAAAGCCCTTAAATTGTGTGACCTTATCCTTCTATTCATCTATTATTTTTTCTCTTTTCTATTGTGATATATTACTAATTTTAATATCATTTATTAAATTTATTATTTTAAACTGAAATGTTTCAATAGTATTCTCTTTATCACTATTGTTGTTATTATTACTATATTTTTATCATAATGAATGTTATCATTATTGTTGTTGTTATTATTGTTGTTGTTATTATTATTTTGTTGTTATTATTGTTATTATTATTATAGTATATACTTTTATAATCGCTACTATTATTTTTTATCACTACTATTATTTTATTATTCACTGCTATTACTTGATTATTCCTAATTGTATTATAATTACTATTATTATCTCAATCTTATTTTTATTTAGTCTGACAGTTGTTTACTTTATATTAGTACAAATTACTATTTGTAAATATCATTGATATAACAACTATATTCAGAATATATTTGATTTGATTTGATGAATGACGAGTCAAGCGAGAATGAATATTAGTTGATGAAACTAGAGACAATAGCTCCTTTTGAATAGCAACTAAGATACTGATGACTGATGATAGCTTTAAAACGATAGGAGGTTCAAGAGGCTCAAACTAAGCAAGCCCAACTACATTTACAATTCGTTTTTGGACCTTGTCAAGAAGAGAAAGAGAATCATTAGAAGAACCAGCCCAAATATGACAACAGTATTCCATACAGGGACGAATAAGAGATTTGCAGAGGTAGAGAATGGAATCAGGAGTAATCAATCAGTCAATCAATCATTTATTTCTGAATTAAGGTTTTACATTCAAGGATGCTTACAAATAGTAAATATACTAATATAAAGTAAACACCTACTAATGTTAATAATATCTAATTAAAATAAATATAATGCTAATTTTCACAATATATAATAACTATAATAAACTTTATAACATAAAATAACGATGTAATATAAATAACGATGTTATAACAATAATAACAATAACAATAATAACAATAATAATAATAATAATAATAACAATAATAACAACAATATTAGTATTAGTAATAATAAAAATTAAAAGTAATTATCAATAGTAAATATTAGTAAGAATAACAAAATAAAAATAATCAATAAAAAATATAGAATAGAAATTGTAAAATGTGTATATATATATATATATATATATATATATATATATATATATATATATATATATATATATATATATATATATATATATATATATATATATATATATATATATATTTATTTATACTTTATTACTTTACTAAATTTTTAATGGTTTATGCTCTTAATGCTCCCTGGTCCCAACATAAGCTTATAAAATAGTTCTTTCAGTAAAGAAAAAATATTAATTTTAAAATTGTTAAAACCCGTGAAAAATATTCGACAACTTTGAAATCAAAAACTTTCCATTTTTGACTTGCCAGAAATGCATTTTGGTAATATTTTTAACGGCTTTCGCTTCTTCAATTTGATCAGCTATAATGGCCCACCTTAGATTAATGTCATCTGCGTTGATTAGTCTAACATAAGTTTTGCTCCCATTTGATGCTAAAAGGAAGTCTTTAGCGTTTAAAACTATAACTTCACAAAATTTTACTCTATAGATTGAAAATGATATTTCACAGAGCGATGTTGTATGAATTTGGCCATGTAACGATTTTTGAATTGAGTGCAAGGGCCATCGCTCCATAATATAACTTTTTTTATATAATCAATGAAATAGAGGTCAAATATTTCACTTAAGTAAGTAGTAGTGGAGCGCTTTGTTTTATCAATATCATCGGATATTATTACAACTGATTTTGGCTCTAATTGGTAACGATAGATAACAACTGTAAACAAAGTAATACTAGACTGCGACCAATAAGCAGCTTGAACAGCATCCTGATAACCACATACATAGTTTTGTGAATAATTAAAGTGTATCAAAATTTGGTCTGGTTTGAGATTTTCCTTTTGACTACGGTATTGCTCAGAATGGTGCTTTTTAGTGAGATGATGCTCAATAAACTCTGGTAAATAGTCGCAAAAGTGTTTATAGACGTCTGTTATGTTTTTTTTATGTTCACTGAGTACACAGCGATGATCATCTTTTATCCACCAACTATAGGTGATGAATGTATTTATGTCTCCGTTTTCTGGCAAAGAATCTTTAAATAATTTACAATCACTACATAACGAACATCATAATCCAACATTGGGACGTAGATGGCTTACACAATACATATTTTTCTAACCATTTATTACAATACAATGGAAAATGTATTTTACTTGCCAAAGCAGCACATAAATAAGTAAAATTACTGTGATAAACACAACCACATGATTCAAGTGGTGCGTTTTTGCATGTAAGAATGTATCTTGGCCTTAGTTCACAAAATTTAGTTAGTTTAACATATTTGCTGGCACCCTCTTCACAATACAATTGGTGCAGCTCCTTTAAATTCATAACTAAATAGCGCCTTTGTACTTTTTCTCCGTCAATTTTAATATAATCTTTTCTTCCAGGAGACATTATTGAAATATCTTCTCTTTCATAAAATGCTTTTACTTTTTCAATTTCTTCTAATGTGATGCAAACTCGCGTGATTTCTTCAGTAGTGCATAAGCCATATTCAGCACCTAACTGCTCTACAATAGTTCGTCTTTTATTTGGAGACTTTGGAAGAGCCCGTTTTGTTCTAAAAATTTTATTTAATATAAAAAAACCCAAATTAGGCGAAAGCAATAACATTAAAAAATATAGTTTAATATAATTAAATACTTGTTTAATGTCATTGTCATTGACGATTTGCAGTTATAAGAATCAGGCGTAACATTCAAACTAGTGTTAGCAGTAAATTCAAGTTTTTTTTTCATTCTTAACCTTCGGTTACGAACTTTCGCTTGATTTTTTTGCTTGTTTTTTTTTCTTGGTGTTAATAACTGTCTCCTTTGATAACTTCTCTTTCTTTCTTTTTCCAACAGCACTTGTCTGTTTCTTGCTCTATAAGCTTTTGATCTTTCAGCATCTGATTTAGGCATTTTAAAAATGTTGTTAAATGCGACAGCTTCCGTTTAATATTTTCGTTCTGTTATGTTAAAAAAAACCCGCGAATTTTATAAATAAAAAAACCGCGAAATCTAATGAACAAAAAAGTTGCAATGCAAACTAGAAACAACGTTTAAACTAAGAAAAAGTTTTCTTCATGTTAAAAGTTTTTATTTCTTTACAAATATTAATTTATTTACATCAATTATTTAAAATAAGTGATGTATATTTTAAAAAAGAAATAGGAAAAACTTTAACAAGCTTATCAATATATTGAGTAAACAAACAGAAAATCAAACGAAATTGATTTGTAACTTGGTTTCAATAATAAAATCGTTCTCGCTTAAACTTTTTATTCAAAAGTCAAGAAGCCGTTATGGAAAAACAAGCATATCGTGATGGTCGTAACTTTGTTTAAATCTTAATACAATCATCTGAAGCTCTTTTTAAAAAAAAATTGAAACGATGATAAAACTTATATCAGAATATTTACTTTTAGGGGAGAACCTTAATGAATGGGACAGTTTTCGTAAAATGCATTTTTTGAGGTTGATAAATTTGTTTAAAAATCACTTTGAAAATAGTTTGATAACTGTTAACTCTCGTACTATGATAAACAAAAACAAAAAAATTGATTCCGCATATGGGTATTGGTAAAAAGAGAGTTTAATAAGACCATGGCATTCGTCCCATTCATTAAGAACTACTCATTGAATGGGACAAATAAAATTATTGAATGGGACAAATCTAAAAAATTAATAAAAGAAGAGAGGTCCTAAGTAACTTTCAAGCCAGTCAAGCAGTAAGGGTAGTTTCTACCATTAGGGAACCCGAAAAAGCTATAAATATGGCCGAATGTCTGCATATATTGACAAACCTAAAATAGTTTTATTAAAAAATATATGTATATTAAAATTAAATTAAAAACACGAATAATTGTTTTTAGTAAAACAAAAAGGGTTTTTTAAATGCTTGGATATAATTCCCAGTAATGACACATTTCCAATAGGGAAATGAGTCATTGCCTGCAGCATCCCTATGCTAAATTATAAATAAACAACTTAATACCATATAAAGTATCTAGTTTACTTTCAAAAAACGAAATAACAAAGCATCTTATTAGATATTTAAAAAATTCATTGTATTTATGTTTAACCAAAATATAAAAATCAACAATTATTGCTTGTTGCAAAGTACATGAAATAAAAACCATCAAAGAAAGTGTAGAAGATATCAACAGTCAACTTCACATAGTTCACATTCATAATAACGCTTCTTGCTATTATTATTACAATTACCACATATCCACCATTGACAAGTAAAACACTGAATCCAAGCAGGCCCAACGAAATTTTTCCAGTTACATTTGCATATTTTGCAAGTATTTTGTTGTTGTTGGTTTACGGGTGCATTTTTTACAGATGACACAATTAAAAAATCTGCATCAAAGATTTCTGTTTCTTTCCCTCTTTTGAGGTCAATTTTTCTTTTTAGATTTTGTGTGGTAATTTTACCAGTTTCAAAAATGTTCTTCTTATTTACTGTCTTTTCTGGAGTTTTAGT